TTTTTAAAGTTATATTTTATAACTCACAAATTCATTGGATCTGTTGTGGCGCTACCCCGACATGTTCAATTTTGTTTCCCGGATAACACAGCAGTGAGAGTCATGTCCTGTTTTTTCAACATTTTGGTGATTGTGATTTTCTCATCCATATCATGAAATACGCATAAGGGTATTTTCATGCGTATTTGAAGTTTGATTTTATGTATTTTTTAATAAAAACTTTTTATATTAAAAACCAGATTATTGTTCTATTTTCACTTCGCACCATAATTTCCTCTCACTGCTCTTTTAATTATAAACTTCCATTAGTCATTGAAAGTAATGTAAATTATAAAACAAGAATTCTTTTTTAGGGTGTAATAGTACCATTCGAATTGTGGTCAAATACTCATCGAGAAGGTCGAATGTATAAAAACTTTTATAAAAACTGAATTTATGACTCTTCGTCTACGCCAATTAAATCTAAATCATCATACACAATTAAAACATTTCTTCGAATTCGCCCCCCCTATAAATACATTGCACCATCTCCAGAATTGAATGCAAACCGCCCACACATGTCTTCTTCCATTTTTAATTTTTAACTAATTACTAAATAAAGTCCATCCGAAATGTGGTCAAATATTAGTCGGGACAGTCAAAGTTATTCATTTTGGATATTTGTTGATCTCAACGGCCCTCTCTATTATTATTATTATTATTATCATCATCATTATGATTATCATCATCATCATCATTATTAATGAACGAAATTACATCTCATTTAACTTCCTGAGCTCTTAGAAATTAACGAGAGTAATAAAAGCTGATTTGACCGCTCTTTAACCACAGAATTTATTTTTTGTTTCTACAATGGTACTCCTTGCATATGTAGTAAGCAATTTCTAAACGCATGTTGGCCATCTTTTCTTTTGTCATATTCTCTAACGATTTAAAATCCTGATGTTGTGCTCCCAACTCTAACATTTTTACCGCGAAGATGCCGCAGTCACAATCAATCTGTTGGGGTACTGTGCAGTATTCGATTTCCCAATCGGCATATCCGTGCTTGCCGATTTCTCTAATTCCCGCAATGCCTTTAAACCCTCTAAGATCATCTATCAGCAAACTAGCCATCGTCTCAATCGAAGTTATCCTCTTAAGGGAGTCAAGCACGATGAGGCGGCACCTCTCAAAGTCAGCCTTGATACAGAACCAATGTGAACTCGTGCCTTTCAAATAATATACGTACTTAGTGTTCTTTTTCCAGGAT